GTTTCACGCTAAAATAGAGCTTTGATTAATACTTTTATACAGTTTAAATGAATAACAACTCCCAAGGTGTATTAGCTGAATTATATTTTTGTTTTGATAGTCTTTAGTCAATAACGGATTTTGAAATTGTTATGAGTCTACAACACTTAATTTCAGCGAAATTCAGTTAAAAAGTCACGTTATAGAAGACAGAAAAATATCAATATCTGTTTTCAATAAGTTTTTATAGCAAATCTGAGAGGTGCAAATGTTTAGCTTGGTTTAAGTACTACATAATAAAATACACCGTTAGACAGTCATTTTGATGGTCGTAAATTTCTTTTGAACACTAATTTTTATATACTTTTAGACTGTTTACCGTTTGACTTTTGTCCCAGTTTAACCTAGTGGGTTCAAAAAGAAAGGACCGCGCTGGAAACATAAAGGGGGGTTAAAAGAATCAGCCCTTTTTGAATTAATAGTCGGTAAGTCTAATATGTTTCACTCAGCTTATCAATTTTCCTTTTCTTTTTTGTATTACATTCAAGGAATAGACTGTTTTTTATGCTCACTCGTTTTTTAGAAGTCGTGACCAGCTCGTATGAAAGAATTTCTCGACGTGAAAAAGTTGATTTTATTCAACAACGCCAAGAAACAGAGCTCGCTCAATAAACAGAAAAGAAAGAGATAGATGAAAAAATATTCTGTTGAACAATACTGTTGTTTTATTTATAATATATATTCCTATGTTTAAACATATAAAAGATGTAGAAAATACTTCCTGTTTTATATTGACATTTAAAAGAGGTTTCTTACTCGGCATCGGAAAGAGTTTTTTGTAATACTTTGTATAAAGAGCTATTATCATTTTCATTTGATAAAAACAGGTTTTCATATATGAGAAGTAGGAACACTATAGTGTATAGGATACTATAGTATACTTATAAGTATGACAAAAAAGTTGTTCCGACTCCGAGTAAAAAAACTTTTTTAGACGTGCATGACTGATAAACAAAGACGTCTTAAAGACGCATTTTTTATGTCTTTTAAAGACAAGATTATGATTAAAAAAGACGTCTTTTCGATGTCGAAAAAAGATGTCTTTTAGATTTGCATAATCGAATAAAAAAAGACGTCTTAAAGACTTTGTAAATAAGACTTTTAAAGACGTCTTCTTGACGTCTTTTTCCCCACTGGATTATATGTATTTTTGAGAGTTTTACTTGGGCATCTTGGTTTATAGTGGGGCCTAGGACCTTCGGATCTGGCAGGGGCTCTAAGTAAATCCCTTCCAACCTCACTCACCAGTTTGACCCTGCATTTAAGAACACTTTTTTCATATGTATCTTTAAATAAAATTCAAATTATATAAAGTTTAGATTTTTTTTTATGCCAGGCAACTTTGTGGAAGCAGTTATCATGTTTCGGTTGAAGAAGTTAAAAGTATTCTTCGTTTACAACGCCTGAAGTTGTTTAGTAAATTGGATGTTATGGGTGTACTTATCAATGCTCAATTATTCAATCAGAGTGTTGTTAATTAGATCTGAATGAGGATGACATTAGTTATCTTGATACGTCTGTCTCTTCAATTGATGTAATTACCAAAGAAGATAATACTGCCCTATATTACATTTCAGGCTCCAGTGTGTTAGATACATTTCGGGTTCCAGTGCGTTAAATACATTTCTAAATTTTTTATATATTTGTATACAGCTTTACCTTTCGATTTACAAGTATTACCAATTAACACAGTTGTTTCCGCCATTTTGAATTATTTTTTAAAGGGTCTAACGAAATCGGATCTCATCAATCAAAGTTTTTTTAAATATCTGAATGAGGATGACATTAATTATCTTGATACGTCTGTCTCTTCAATTGATGCAATTACCTAAGAAGAAAACACTGCTCTATATTACATTTCAGGCTCTAGTATGTAGATGCATTTTGGGTTCCAGTGCGTTAAATACATTTCTAAATTTTAACGAAATTGGATCTCATCAGACAAAGTTTCTTTAAATATTGAAGACCGCAAAGTTAAAAAGTTTTGCAAATAAATAAAACAACACACAATACGTGGTTAAAATGGTTAATTTTTTAAATCGTTAACATTGTTTTATCACTGAAGTTAGATAATTTTAGATATTCTACTTTTTTTGTTGTTGAATTTTGAAAATTTTTATATTTATAATTATATTTATTATTTATAATTTTTATATTTATTAATGTTTGAAGAATTAAATTATGAATTAATTTCAATTTTTAATGAAATGATTTAAATGGTTTCAAGTAATTAAAGTTCAAAGTTGCTAATTTAAGTTTTTTATAAGGTCCTTTTATATACTACATAAGATCCTTTGATTAACTACATAAGATCCTTTGATTTTACTACATAAGATCATTTAATTTACTAATTAAAGATTAAAGTTACTAATCAAGGTCTTATAAAAATAAGATTCCTTTTTTGCTATAAATTGACATAAATTTAATGAGTTATGAGATTAAGATGTTATTTAATGAGAAACAAAAAATAACTCTGAATAACTGTTAATATTAGTATCAAAACCACGTAAATGTTAAACTTCAATAAAAATTTTTTGAACATATTCAACTTTCAGCCCTCTCGTCAAAATCGCATGAAATCGAAGTTGCGCGTCCCGGTATTTTAGTAGTCCCTATATATATTAATTATCCAATTAGTGTTTTTTTACTTTTTTTTTTTTGAAATTCCTCTATGTTTTTCTTTTCAAACTTTATATTTACTTAAAACTCTAATTTTATTTTAACTTAATTTTAATATTAAATTATAACTATAGTATTAACTTCTCTTAACTTTTTTTAACTTAGATATTTTTTTAAACTTGTATTTCTTTACATTGGAATATTTAAAATAAAAAAGATCAAGTAATAAAGCGTTTACACAACGAGATAAATGTAATAAATTTTGTTATTATATTATATTAAATATGAAATATATAAATAATATTTTATGAAATAGGTTACAATAAATAACTTAAAAATATATCCTTGGATTTTTTATTCTAAATAATATCTCAAGTATTAGATTGGTTTAACTATATAATCCTAATATAATTGTTTCTCATGATCGAATATAATTTAAATTCAATTACAAGAATTTGAAATAACTCTTAAAAACTTTATGAAAAGTTTATTGTGAATCACTCACGCATAGAAACGCATGGAAAGTGAAAGCGCTTTAGTCTCAACATTTTTTTAGATTTTAGTGGGAAAATTTTAATTCGAAAATTTATCAAGTTGTAATTGCAGAAATACCAAAAAAAACATACTTTAGCGAGTGTGATTTGTGAAGAACTTTTGATTTTTTCAAAATAAATATAACTTACAAATAAAATTGATTTTGAAGGAAAAAACAGCATGATATTTTTGAAAACATTTTTTATTCTAATCGTGAGTTTGATTGTAATATCAGAAAGTTTAAAATATACCATGTCCAACGGCGACACTGTTGAATATGGTTGTTTTGCTGAAGAAGCCGTTTGTTACAGGTTTCGTTCAAGTAACTCGGTATAAACAATTAATTTATTATATTTTTTTATTATGCATTATAGATAAATTCTACTACAAAAAAATAAATAAAAACATAATAATAACTACAAATCTTTTAATTAAATGAACACGGAGACTTGTAAAAAATGGCTAAATCATGTCGTTACAATTATGTCGTCATAGTCAAGACAATCGGACAATTGGAGGACCGGGAATATTTTTGAACTGGACAGTTTTTACTCTAATTGGGGCTGTTTGACAAATTTTCAAAGTAACATAGTTATTTGTCAAACCACAATAATTAAGGTCTCTTTTAACATTTTAACTTTTTTTATATTTCTTAATTTTCAATGTTGAAAAATTTTATTTGATGTATGTGGTGGCAGCGTAAAGATTAGAATTTTATTTTCGTTGCTGTAACTCAGTTCATCAACCGATAAATGGGACTCATGGTTGTCCATGATCAATAAGACTTTGTTCTATGCAGAACAACGGTCATTCCAAAAATATTTTAACACCTTACCAAAATTCGCGCTTGTCATCCAGGTAGAAGGGTTAACCAAATAAGGTCCTGTAGAGTCTGGAATACCTTGCATCATTTTTCTTTTATCAAAGTGGCTAGGAGAAAAAATTCAGACAGGTGGTAAGGCATGACCAACCGCACTTATAATTCTTGCATGTATTACCAATTCTCCTCTTTATCGTGACGTCAATTGAGCGACTTGGTGCTGCCTTAGTCGGGCTATGATTTTATAAACACGTTGCACTTTGGTTACCCCAATTTAATCCAGATTGTGATATTGAGGAGGTGTGAAATTGTATTGTGTAATAAGATCATAAAGTTTATTTTGAAAATCTGCCACTGTTACTTTTATTGAAATTGGTCATTCAATTTAGTTGCTAGATTGGCACTTATTAAACATTTTCATTTTAGAAAAGCAAGGCTAAACATTAAAAATAAGACTTTAATTTTGCTTAAATACACTTCAACTTTTATTTTTAATTCATTAAGAATACTAACACTTTAGAAAATTAAAAAAGTAAAATAATATAATTAGGTCCAGAGTTTTTTAAATAGTTTTATCATCTTTGTATATGTCAAAATGTATGTCGTTAATTACAAAATTATTTTGTATCTTTTTAGATGTACTGGTGCTATACAAGAGGTGTTAACGATAAAGTGATGGCAAAAGTTGCGTGTAGAAGCGATAACGATTGTATTGATAAGATTCATTGTATTTTACCGTATATTTTTAGATTACGTAATATAAAATGTCATAAATAGTACATTTGAAATGTGGAATTTCAAACGGGTATTAGTACATTATACTCAATTTAATAATTCAAGATTACTTTAGATTTATAGCCTTCTAGAGTTTTATAAGACATAATATAAAAAACTTTAACTGCGTTAAGTTCAAATATTACAGGATTATTCATTTTTATGTGCGCGTCTATTCATTTTTATTTGCGTGTTTATTCATTCTTGTATGCATATTTATTCATTGTTATATGCGTATTTATTCATTGTTGTATGCATTTTAAGCACAGTTTTTTTTTTAACAAATTGTTTTAAAAATACATGAATTAAAATTACTTAAGACGAAGACTTTTTAAACTCGACGATGGTTTATTTAAGGTACAAACTACCCTCTTTTTCTTACTTAATTTAGTATTAAGTCTTTGTTTAATTTTATTATTAAATTTATTGATTGATTAAATTATTATTTATCTAATTATTAATTTGTCTAGATTTAAATTTAACTATTTATAATAATTATTACCCAATGGATGGAAGAGAAAAAAGCAGTGCACATCGAAAAACAAGGAAAAATATTACGAAAGAGCACATTGAAATGCTTAAGCATTTAGTTGAAAGAAATAAATCTACAACAAGTATTTCCACTTCTCTTAATTTATCTAAGCGCACAGTTCAAAATCTTGTTGTTAAGTTAAACAGAGGAGAATTTGACGACATGACTGCATTCAAGTCGTTTTCTGATAAAAAACGAGGTAAAAGACCTATAAACAATCAAATAAAAAATATTATTGAATTATGCGTACAAAAAAATAATCTTTGTACGCAAGAAGCAATAAAAGAGAATCTTTCTGCAGCAGGCTTCAACATGTCTCAGCCGACTATTTCAAGAAAACTCAAACGCTTAGATTTATCAAGAAAGCGTGTTGTGCATGTGCCAGAAGAAAGAAAAAAAGAATAAATAGCAGTGGCAACAACATAATTTATATTTTAAATATATCTATATAAAAACATAAAAGCATATTTATTGTTTATATAAAGTTATATTAGAGGTTTTATGGGTAGTTGACTCGCATTTAAACGCGCATATAAGAATGAATAAACACGCATATAAGAATGAATAAATACGCGTATAAGAATGAACAAATGCGCATACAAGAATGAATAGAAACGCATATAAAAATGAATAGACGCGCATATAAGAATGAATAACCCTGTAAATACCGTTTCATTATTTTTTATTTATTTTTTTTTTCTTTCTTTTTTTAGTTTACATTTGTTGTCCTAGTTAATAAATTACTTTCACAAACACAAACAAGGTTTCTGAAAGAAGATCGTACTGATCTTATCATCAGAACCTTTTACAAGCGTGTGTATATAAACTACATCAAAACATAATCAACAAAATAAAACGTAACAAACAATAAAAGTTCTAAAGAAAATATAAAATTACAATTTAAAAAATCTGACTATATCATCCATTAAAATAACTAAATTTTTCCAAAGATAGGGTAAAGATTTGGATTCCAAATCTTTACCCTATCTTTGGAATAAAATTCCAATTTTATTCTAAAGATAGGGTGCACGATATGCAATACAAAACTGATTAAACTTGGTTCGACGAAGGGGCTCATATATAAAACTATTGTTTTCAAGTGTATATTTTTGATAAAGTTTGGCATGCTGGTCTTTTCCATAAGCTTTCTTCTTACGGTGTATCTGGAAACATCTTTCAGATTATTGAATCCTTCCTTTCCAATCGTAGTATAAAAGTTGTCCTTGATGGACAGCATTCTTCTTCTTATTCTGTAACCTCAGGGGTTCCTCAAGGTTCAATCCTTCGCCCTATACTCTTTTTAATTTACATTAACGATCTTCCAGATATTCTCACATCTAAGGTGGCATTGTTCGCTGATGTTACTACCATTTATTCTTGTCACGATAGGAAGCCAACTCCCTCTGATTGCTTGCAGGGTGCATCTGAGCTTGAAAAGGATCTCACTTCTGCTACAGCATGGGGCTTACAGTGGCTGGTGAACTTTAATTCAGATAAAACTCAATTTTTTTCGGCCAATCGTTATCGCAATAGTTTAGACTTTCCTATATTTATGAACGGTAATGTACTCAATGAGTCTCCTACCCTTCATCTTCTAGGATTAACTCTTACTTCTGATCTTTCTTGGAAACCTTATATCAAATCCGTTGCAAAATTAGCATCTGCTAAAGATGCTTCTTATTATCGAGCTCGTCACTCTGGATTCTATTCTCTATCTCTATAAATTTCATATCCGGCCTTGTATGGAATACTGCTGCCATATTTGGGGCGGATCATCTAATGATACCCTTTCTCTTTTAGACAAGGTGCAAAAACGCATTGTAAACATAGTTGGACCTGCTTATGCAGCCAACCTTCAACCTCTGTCACATCGTCGTAATGTTGCTTCTCTTTCTCTTTTCTACAAATACTATAATGGGCACTGCTCTAAAGAGCTAGCGTCTCTTGTGCCATCTACTAAAATTCATTCTCGTGTTACTTGTCATTCAATTAAGTCTCATCCTTTTTCTGTTACTGTTCCTAAGTGCTCCAAAAACTCTTATTCGTCTAGTTTTTTTCCTCGAACATCAGTTCTTTGGAATTCGCTTCCTTCATCTTGCTTTCCTGATTCATATAATTTGCAATCTTTTAAGTCGTCTGTCAATCGTAATCTTGCTCTACAATCTTCATCTTTTCTCATCCAGTAACTTCCAACACAAATTAGTGGTTGCTTGCAGCCTTGTTGAAAGCGAAGATAATTAAAAAAAATATATATATATATTTATTTATTGGTTTCAAACAAAAGAGATCTTTGAAAACGGGTAAAGATATGTCATTTTTCCACATATACATAAAGCACAAAACATTAAAAACATTAAGCTCATAAATATTGAAAACATTCATTTCAACAAAAAGTGGTTTGGAATGAGTGTATCGATCCCCAAAATTTATTAAACGGATCGCATGTTTCTGACGGCGATAAAGGCATTTTAACTTACTTTTTTCAGTGTTTCCCCATGCAACATTAGTATAATTTAAATAACTATGAATTAGTGAGTAGTAAAGCTGAGCTAGACTTTTTTTACATAAATATGTTCTGGTTTTATATAGAATTTCAATATTTTTAAAAATTTTGTACCAATATAGTCGATATGCGTTTTCCATGTGATATTTTCATCAAGAAAAATACCTAAGAACTTTGTTATATTATGTCTTTTTTTTCAGCATCACCAATAACAAATTTTAGGTGAATTTCGGGGTAAATAAGCTTTTTTAAAGACTGGCTGGAAAAGAACCCAATTTGTTTTTTTTTAATGTTTAGAGTTAATTTGTTGCATTAGGATATACTTTTAAGTTCATCATTCATTGAATAGAAGAGTTTATAAATGTCATTATCGGAAAAGAATAAGTTAGTGTCATCAGCAAACATTTTTTTTTTTTTTTTTAATTTTTTTTTTTTATTTATTTTGTCAGTAAAAAAAAAGAATACAATGCCGTGTAATATAAATAAGATCTACATGACCGGGGTTAAAAGAAGACAATACTTGCCTTATCACTACACCCCGACGTGCTTTCATAAGCAAGCGTGTACAACCATTAAAAGTTAAATATACAATTACTTTGTGCCATTTAAAAAATTATATACAATTATTTACAAGTATGTTAAGACTAGTTACTAATCTATAATCAAAAGAAAATAGTAAAAAGAAATTAAAAAAAAAAAAAAAAAATCAAAACTATAGATAAGCTAATAGGATAGTTTATAGAGTTAATAAGATAATTGTTAAAAATAAAGAAAAAATAAAAATAAAAAATTTTTAAACAGAATTTAATTCATTAACATCGTTAATAAGTTTTTGTTTCAATTTTTTTTTTTGAATAGGTAAAGAGAAGAACATTTTTTCAGCTCGTCACTTAATAAAGCGTTCCATAATAATTATGGAACGCTTCTAAATTATTTAGGACCTCTTATAGCAATAGAAAATTTGGTAGCCAAATAATGCATTTTAGGTTGCTCATAATTGTACTTAGAAAATCTAGTAGGGTACATGTGATTAATTTTATTGAAAAGTGTACTAAATATTATAGGTGATATTTTATTATGAAGTTTGTACATAAAAATAAGAATTTGATAAAGGTTTAACTGAAAAACATTGAGTATGTGAAGATTATTAAATAGTTCTTTAGTATGTGTGAATCGACCTGCATTTGAAATAATTCTGACAGCATGTTTTTGTTTACTAAGCAGTTTTGTAATTTTACTTATATTAGAGCTGCACCAGGCAATGTTTGCATAGTTTATATAACAATGTATGAGGAAGAAAAATAAAATTTTTAGGCAGTTTTGGTTTAAAAACTGCTTGGCTTTGAATAGTATAACAATATTTTTTGAAATTTTATTTTCTATTGTACTTATGTGTTCTCTTCATGTTAAGTTTTCATCAAGTATCACTCCTAAAAATTTTATTGATGACTCTCTAATTATTTTAGAGTTGCCAATATAAAGATTAGAAAGTTTTAGTGGAATGTTTTCTTTATCGTGAACTCTATAAAAAAAAGTATACTTAGTTTTATTTAAATTTAAGGACAATTTGTTCGCCTTGAACCATTCCGCTAGATTTAAAAGTTCTTTGTTTACTATTTTAAATAAAAGTTTAATATCTCCATTAGAGTAAAATAAATTCGTGTCATCTGCAAATAAAACAGAGTTTAAAATGTTTGAAAACTTATGAAAATCGTTTACATAAATAAGAAATAAGTAAACATGATACTAAAAAAATAAACATGATACTCATTAAATTCGAGGCTTTGTTTAGATCGTTTATATAAATCAAGAACAATAGTGGTCCCAAAATGGAACCTTGTGGAACGCCACATAAAATATTTAGAAATTTATTTGGATGATCATTATTGCTGAAAACAAATTGTTTACGGTTTGATAGATAACTTTGAACCATTTTATAACTTTGCAATTTATTCTATAATATTTAAGCTTTTGTAGTAAAATTTCATGATCGACAGTATCGAATGCTTTTGAAAAGTCGATGGAAACACCTAATATATATTTAGACTTTTCAAAAGAATTAGAGATTTCACGTACAAATTGGATAACTGCTTGTGTTAAATGTGATAAATGTTCTGTGGAATTATTTGTTTTAAAGCCGAATAGATAGTTATATAAAAAATTATTAGAATAAAGATAATTGTATAATCTATACGTAGTATTTTTAAAATGTGAAGAGGACAGAGATAGGGCGATAATTACTGATACTTTGGTAATCCAACATCATTTTTTTTTTGCAAAAGACTTTTGATATGGTAATTAAAGCAAGAGCAATAAGATCAAAGCGGTTTAGGCATTTAGGTTTGAGCATGCCTTTCCATTACATCACGAATCTTTTGGTTAAGGTGCATTCAACTATCCAAGTGTAGTTTGTTTGATTATAGCTATGAAATCATAATTGCTTCCATACCACGTTTCATATGTTACTCTTTAAGAATCTGACTAATGGTGATGATGCCGTACACCCCTGCTTTTAAAAAGATTTGATCGAGTCCACTTCCAATAATTTTTTTAAATGCAAATACAACATGCAATTCCCCAAGTCAAAAATTGATTTTTTTTTGACCTCATTAGTGCATTGTAGCGGTATGCATTTCGAATAAAGCTGAAGATCAAGATTCACAACCGTTTATTTACAACCTGTAACCGTAACAACGTTAATTCCCTGAAAAAGCTTTAATGCAGCAAAAAGGTTGCTCCAATCCAGTTCCGTAGTTAGTGGGTCTGAGGCTCCTTAAACAATAGAAAAGAGTTTCTAAATTTCCAAATGAGTCCCCTAAATTTGCTGCCCTTACCCCTTAGGGGTGCGGAGTAGCTATACAAGGCTCTGCTCTAATCAGTTTGAATCTTACTTAATGTTTAAAACAGTAGTAACAAGTCAAAGTTGATTAATTACAGCAAAGAAACGTTTTATA